CAAGCGTCGTTTCTTAATACGTACCTGATCCCAATTGTTCAACTGCAAAAACGTCAGAGTAGCCCGAGCCATCTCGCTGGCCGACGTTAAGGCCACAGATCCAAGAGTGGGAAAGACAGAACGATCGCTAAGAGCATCATCTCCAGACATGTGCGCAATAATGGGTACGTTCCATCTCGGTGCTAGCTTACCAATAACTAGCATTTCTGTAACTTTTGTAAGTATGCGTGATGCGAGTACTTCCAATTTTTAAGTTGAACAGAAAAGAACGTCGCTTTTTTTCGGTTTTTTCCTGCTAAAATTGGCATTTCTTAAGAACCAAGGCAGATCCAAGGCCAGAATTTTATGGTCAAAGCTATGAAGGCTTGTAATAAAAAACATCTATAGAAGAAGCCCATGACATTAGAGGAGGAGCTTGAAATTCTCCGTTTTTCAATTTTTTTCTGATTTCTAAGCATGGAAATAATATAGCAAGTACGAATAAATGCATGTGTTTGGTTCATGAGATTTTCTGCGGCGGAAGTCCGATTTTTTGCACTATGAGTCAGTTGCACTTATGTTCCTGCTCCAAACTTTAGATACATAACGATTTCTGCCGATGTTCACAGGGCAGCTTGTAGAGCTTTTGCTCCATAAATTTCTTCCAGGGATAGCCACAGTTTTGCTCATTTCTGTAAGCGTAAGAAAAAGCCTTCTGTTGACATTTTTTGAAAATGGTTGGCTGTCCATTGCGAAGAAAATAAAAGCACTTCATAGAAGAAGACTGAGACCTGCGCAAAAATGTTGGAAAAAGCTGACAGTTTTGGATTTTGGTTTTTTTGTTTTCGTAAATCTTCTTCGTTTAGACCCTATCTTCTTTTGTACTACTAACTTCAGCTACAAGATAGGAGGCTACAAACTTTGAAGGGAGTTATGTTTTGTTGAAGATGAGGTTCTAGAAAAAAAATTTTGTCTAACAATCCATGTTTTTCTGCCGTTTCTAATGTGGGTGTAGCCGGATGTGCGCTTATTGCGAAGGGTTTGCTGCCACTGGTTGATGATCTTTATCGCATTGAAAACTGTAGATTTTTCAGGAAGATAAAGCACGTCTTAGGATGTACATATTCGCAAGAAGACGCTCATTACTTTTGCACCAATCTAATAGTTGACAAGGGTTGCAGGTTCTCCAACTGTATGGGAGTGTCATAGTGTGTGTATTGCCTAAGAGTTATATTCTGAGATGATGCGTCCGCAGATATAAAAGCATTTCCTATACATAAGGCAGGCAATTCAATGATGTTATGCACGCAGATTTTCAGAAGGAGCTTGGTACATTCTGATTTCGGTTTGGTATCCTTATACCAATCAGTAATAGGACCGTAGTGCACCCATTTTGTGCTATGCTTCAAGCAAACCGTTGAAATAGAGATTTGCAAAAAGGTTGACGCCCCTCGTTTCGCTCACTCTATTTCCTTGGAGCGAACAAGAAACGAACAGCGTAAAAGTTAAGTGTGGACTTTTTTGTAGACTCAATTTCTATTAGAATCTGTGAGCTATGCATTCTAATTGCAGAGTAAAATGCGCACTTTTTCGTTTTTTTTGCCGCTTAGCAGCTTTGCTAAGCCTCCATATTTTTAGTGCGCATCCCGGTTAAAGGTCCTTGGGTTGCTAATTTTTCATTAGTGTTTCGGTTTTGAAATAAAAATCCTGCGCCTTGTCGTGAAATTGAGTATACTTTCATGGATATGCATTGACTACCAGTTCGTCACATCAAGAAAAAGTTGACGCGCTTCGTTTTAATGAGCTTTTTCAATCTGATGTATCATCTCGGATGACTTGATGAAATCCTTATGATATAAATCTCCTCGTGATACTCAGTCAATTAAAGAAGCTCAGGCCAGCCTTGCCTCCAAACAGCGCTTTTTTGATACTCTAGATACTTCGCGATGTAAATTTTCATGAAGATGAATTCTAGCGGAGGCCAGACTGCCTATAATGCTTGACAACAAATTGGAAATCTGAACTCTTCGAGGCGAAATTGATCAAATTACTAGGTTGTCTCAAAAGTGAAAAGTACTTTTGATGAAACTAAGATGTTTCTGTTTTCTTTGCAGACTAAGGGTACCGTTTGATAGAGCAAAGTAAGCTTTACAAAATGACACCAAAGACCATTCTAAGTCGCGAATCTAGTAAAATTTGGAGCAGAAATCGAAAAAAAGTTGTCACCTAAAAACAGATTTTTGCGAAAAAGAATCATACGAGCTCCAAAATGCTCGTCATGCAAGTGCTCGTCATGTCCAAAAAGTGGCATTTTTGCATTCTTGAACTATTTTTGTTACTTAATATTGAGCCGCGGAAAAGTACTACCGAGCGCATTTTTTGGTAGGATAATGTATCTGCGGTATAATGACCAAGTTGGAAATCCGTGAAGATTTACTTGAAGGAGATGCGGTTCTTAAAGTAGATCGAAACTTTTGATTTTTGGCTCTAAATCCTGGAATCACGGCTCAGGCGGATCTTTAGTGTCATTTTGTAGAGCTTGTTGCTCTATCGAATGGTG